ATTATAGGGTGGGAATGGGGGGAAAAAAACTGATATGGGGTGGGGATGGGGGAAATTCAGTTATGGAGTGGGAATGGGGGAAAAACATTGTTATGGGGTGAGGATGGGGGAAAACCCCACAGTTATAGGGTGGGAAGAGGTGAAATGCAGTTATGGGGTGGGAACAGGGGAAAAAAACCACAGTTACGGGGTGGGAATGGGGAAAAAACATTGCCATGGGGTGGGAAAGGGGAAAACCCCAGTGTTTGGTGAGGGATTCCCTCCAAAATCCAAGGAAAGAGCGAGGAGGAGGAGCCAGGCAGGTCGGGATGTTCCGATGGCCTCTGGTGACCCCAAAGCAGACCCAGAGCCACCGTGGGGGACAAAAGGGACAAACATTGGGGTTCCTGAAGTGGCCAAAGGCTTGCACAGGGTGGGCTGGGGATGGCCCACCCCTGTCCCTTAGGGTGACATCCCTGTCACTTGGGGCATGACACCCCTGTCACTCAGGGTGACACCCCTGTCATTGTCCCACCCCTGTCACTCAGGGTGACACCCCTGTCACTTGGGGCATGACACCCCTGGTCACTCAGGGTGACATCCCTGTCAGTGTCCCACCCCTGTCCCTTGGGGTGACACCCCTGTCACTCAGGGTGACACCCCTTTCAGTGTCCAACCCCTGTCAGTTGGGGTGACATCTCTGTCACTCAGGGCAGTGTCCCCTCACTGTCACTCAGGGCAGTGTCCCCTCACTGTCACTCAGGGCTGTCCCCAGCCGTCACTCAGGGCTGTCCCCAGCCGTCACTCACGTGTGCAGCCGCTCCTGCCGTCGGTGACGATGCCGCGGAAGTTCCAGAAGCCGGGCTCGCAGCGGTCGCACTTGAGGCCACCCACGCCGGGCTTGCAGGAGCACTGGCCCGAACCCGGGTCACAGGAGCCACCGTAGGAGCCGTAGGGGTTACACTGGCACGAGCCTGCAGTGGGGACAGCAGGGACAGCAGGGACACCGCTGTCACCACTGGCACACCCCTGTCACTGCTGTCACACTGCTGTCACCCCCTGTCACACCACTGTCACACCCCTGTCACACCACTGTCACCGCTGTCACACCACTGCCACACTGCTGTCACACCCCTCTCACCGCTACCACACCCCTGTCACACCCCTGTCACCACTGTCATTGCTGTCACACCACTGTCACCCCCTGTCACACCCCTGTCACCACTGTCACTGCTGTCACCCTGGTCCCACCACTGTCACCCCCTGTCACTGCTGTCACCTCCTGTCACCCCACTGTCACCACTGTCACCCCTGTCACAACCCATCACCCCTGTCATCCCCTGTCAGCCTGTCACACCCCTGTCACACTACTGTCACTGCTGTCACCCCTGTCATCACTGTCACTGCTGTCACCACCTGTCACTGCTGTCACCCTCTATCACCCCGTCACCCCAGTCACCCCTGTCAGTCACCCCCCATCACCGCTGTCACCCGTCATCCCCCTGTCACTGCTGTCACACCCCTGTCACACCACTGTCACACCCTGTCACCCCTGCCATCCCCCGTCACTGCCCCGCTCCCCTCCGCCAGGCCGAGCCCGCTGCCATCCAGAGCTCCTCTCCCATTAACATCCAAGGGGAAGGAAGTCATTAGAGGCTGATTATTAATTCATTAACGAGCGGCTTGATGGCAGCACGGCGGCCAAAGAGAGACAGGGACACGCTGTCCTTGTCCCAGCAGGAAAGGGACAGCAAGGGACAGCAAGAGACAGCTGGGGAGCAGCGAGGAAAGGGAATGTCCAGGGAATTCAAACTGCTCCTTATGTGGTGACAACCCCCGAGGGACACGCCAGGGACATGGGGGACACAGAGGGGACACGGGTGGGACATGGGGGGGACATAGGGGAACACAGGGGGATACGGGGGGCACCACGGA